AAGGTTGGGGAACCCTGGCTTAGGAAGTCCAAAAATCACGCTTGACAGCTTTCCAGTTTGGGACTTCCATCAAGCTACTCCCGCTCTAACTAATTTCCGCACAGGGCCTTTTTGCTCCGCAGCCACGCTCCGGGCACGCTGCTGATGTGTTTCTCTTTGCTGAGATGACCAAGGAGCTGAAGCTCAAACTGCAGGAGCGGAGAGCCAGGTTAGGCAACTGAAAAGGTGGTGCCCGCCTTTAGCAGAGGATCAGCACGGAGACGAGGGAGGGCGGAACGAGCTGAACTCCCAGCAAATCCGCCTCTGGATCTCTCGGCCAGCCTCTCTGATTGCTCTCTTCGGCCAACCGGCTCTCCTGTTCCTGGGGAGGGGAATCTTCTGGGGTCCGATCAGAAAGCCCGCCTCGACCTGCCCTTGAGACCCTCTTTCTTAGCCACTGGCTGAGCTGCCGTGATGTCACAGCAGGTGCCCACCCTGCAGGAAAAGGGGGCAGTTAAGAGGCGGGTGGAAGGGGATCTGGGGAGAGTTACAAACAGTAGCATGAAGAACCAGTCGATCAGTCCTGGATCCTGTAAAGACTAAGTCCTGCACTCCTCAGGAGAGGAACCGCAAGAAGAACGTCACATGATGGGCCAGGTTCATCAGACAGATAATGGAGTCGAAAAAAGCCAGCTTTGGAGGAAGTAGGAGGAAGGAAGGGTGAGGATCAGTGGATGTACAGGGTCAAGGAGATCACTGGAATGTTTCTGGATGGATAAGCTACACGTTATGCCTATAAAGCTGCCAAATAAAGCCTTTGTCCACACAGTCGCCACCCCAACTCCACGGCATCTCACGGCGCACAAGAAGCTTTCTGCGAATTTGAAGGGGAAATAATCTCACGTGAAGCGGTCTTGTGTGATGTGCACCCAGAAGAAAGGCAAGCGACAAGGCTAACGGGAGTCAGTAGACCAGGGACCTAAAAAGCGGCCAATGTGGGACTGATTTACCCCCCAACTGTGATTGCACCCAACCTGCCTCAAATTTGTAGTTGCAAGCCTCTAAGTTTACATATGGAAATGGGGTCCTTTGCAGCCTATTCCAGCACAGGTTTACTCAGAAGTAAATCCCAGAGGGTGCGAGGGAGCTGGTTGGGTTGTACACCTTTCTTTCGTCTTCTTCTTAACATCTGGAATTTAGTCAAGGGCTGGAAGATTCCAGGGTGATGGTGGACTCATCCGAACAGTCGGGCAAGAATGCCTAGAATGTAAACAGGCACCCGTCGTCCACAAATAGCGACAGGTAACGATAAAGGGGAATCCGAGTCTCCTTTTCAGAGAGGTGGTGCAACAGGAGAGCTTGGAGGGTTTAGGAGCTGACTGGGTATAAATCCAGAAGAACCACCCCTCCCTTCTTGGCCAGGCTCTGTTGACTATCATAGATGGCTATTGCTTCCTGGAATGCAATAAAGAAATTTTTTTTAGTGCATCCTTGTCTAGAAAGAGATGGACACAGGCGAGAGTTGGCTTGTGGGTGGGGCTGGGTCACGTCTTGGACGGAGTTGGATTATCCTATTTGGTGGTTAGTAGGGTTTCAGCCAATGCTATTTCGGCTTCATAGAGCATGTGTGGCAAATCCCGGTCATAAATTCGATTTCTAAAAGGGTGGCTGTGTTGCAAAGCAGATGTGGGACCAAGAGATCAAATTTGGGAGAACTGCCCTTTCTTCTGAGGAAGGAAGGAAGGAAGGAAGGAAGGAAGGAAGGAAGGAAGGAAGGAAGGAAGGAAGGAAGGAAGGAAATGGA